AAAGGGCCAGCAGCAGCATAAAATACAAAATGCCCAAATACTGTATTTAAAATGGCCAAGTCTCCCAGGGGCCACAGTCAGCAGGCAGGCACAGAGGTTTTTCCAATGCCCAGGTCAGTTTCACCACAACAATGGTACCAGTCAATAGGTGAGAAATTTTAGGCAGCAAGTGAAATTTCAGTTTTTGAATTTCATCTGTTGAAAGCAGGGAAAATGGGCAATTTTGACAAAGGGCCAAATAGGGATGGCTAGAGAACTGGAACAGAGCATTTCCAAAACAGCAAGTCGTGTGGGGTGTTCCCAGTATGCAGTGGTTAGGACCTACCAGAAGTGGTGCAGGGAAGGACAACCGGTGACACCGAGCCAGGGTCATGGGTGCCCAAGACTCACTGAAATAAGTGGGGAGCGAAGGCTAGCCTATCCGATCACATAGAAGAGTTACTGTAGCTCAAATTGATGAAAAACTTAATGCTGGCTGTGATATAAAGGGGTCAGAACATCGCAGTTTGCGGAGTTAGCTGCGTAGATCAGTCAGAGTGCCCCCTGTGACCCCTGTCTACTAAAAGCACCTTCAATGGGGACATGAGTGTCAGAACTGGACCATTGAGCAATGGAAGAATGTTTCCTGGTTTGAGGAATCACGTTTTTTTTTAGATCACGTGGATGACTGGGTGCATGTGCTTTATTTTCCTGGGGTAAGAGAGGGCAGCAGGACGCACTGGGGAGAAGCATGCGGTGGAGGCAGTGTTATGCTCTGGGCAATGTTCTGCTGTGAAACATTGGGTCCGGACATTCATGTGTATGTTACTTTTACACGTGACCAGGGCCGGCGCTACCTGTAAGGCGACCTAGGCAGCTGCCTAGGGCGCTGTAACGGAACCGCTGGCACCCCGACCGGGTACCTTCCGCCGACGGATTTCCGAGGACTCCAAGCACTCTGCCTGACACCATAACCACTGCAGACCCCACGAACTTGGTTGGGGTCTCGCCGTCTCCACCCAGTCTGGACCCAGGACCAGGGTCCAGCTTCCAGCATGTCGACCTCTCTCCCAATTCCAGAGAGCAGGAACAGGAACAAGCTCTTAGCAGAGCTTAGTGATTATACCCTGGGGAGTATAGTGATTATAGCAATCCCCAGAGTGTAGTTTCTCCAATCCCCCAAACATGAGCCAAAACTGCATGAAGGTACAAGATGATCTGACTCCAATGAGCGTTTATTACTCCTTATATACAAGTTTTCAGGTCAAACTGTGACAAAAGGGACACAAACCAATGGGAACACTAATTAACATAATAACACTCTCACATACACAATGAAATCCCTCCTCTCCATCCTGGAGATAATTGGCTTAAGGCACTGCAGTAAACTCAATTATCTCCAGGTACAGAAAATATCTACATTTAACACTAACAGCAAAAATATGTAAAAGTACATAAAAATACATAATTCTTATTTTATTACACAGAACCCCCACATTTAACCTATCCCCAGATAGCTCGGATCTGAGCGCCCAATCTAGGTGAACAATAGACAGGAAACGGGGGAGGGGAAGAAACACACCTTCCCATGGATTCCAATGGGAAGAAACTGTCTTTAGAAGCCAATAAGCCCCAAATAGTCTTTTTTAAATGGCAATACACCCCAGGGCCATAGTCATGAGGAAGGAGGCTGGCAATCAGGCTCCTCCAAAAGCCGGGGGCAAAGAGCAGCTTGTCACCTAACAATCCAGGGACAAAAGGCATTTCGTCACAGGCGCACCTTAGCAGGGGGCGCCGGATCCCTGCCCCCAGTGGCACCTCATGCTGCGCCGCCTGAGCGCTTTTACAAGCCTCAGGCAGCGGAGCACTGCTGTGGAGGGCGGCCGGATTTGAGCGCTCCCTCCTTCCGGTCTCTCAATGTAGCGTGGCCGGGCAGCGCAGAACAGGAACCTTTGTTTCCTGTACCCAGCCGCCGGCCGCACTTCCCTTCAGTTCGCCGGGAACAGGAAACAGAAGTTCCTGTCCCGCGCCGCCCGGCCACGCTACATAGACAGGAGGTGTGGTGAAACCGACCTCGCCACGTGTCTTTGGAGGGGGCTGCTTGCCCGCCTCTTGCCTTTGGACTATGGACCAGACTTTATGTGAGTGTGTTAACCCAGATAGCTATGCCATGGAGCCCATTAGTGTAGTTAAAGACTTCAGCTCCATGGCAATTGAACTGTGTGAATAGGATCTGAGCGCTATTCGGTAGTTTTGTGCGCTCAGATCCCAGCTATCTGGGGATATGTGAAATGTCTGTGTTATGTGTAAAAGGTGACTTTATGTATTTTAAAGTGTTTTATGTCTTTTTGCAACCATGTGCTCAATGGAGTCTGCCTCTATCCCTGGATAATTGGATTACTTTCCCCCATTGTCTCCAGGATAGAGGGCTCTGTAAAACCTGTTTGAGCCAGATATCCATGTGCCAGCCAGGGCCCAAAAGATACTTTTATTAACTTTAGAACCCCTAGTCGGATTCATGCCATTTTTTAATATGTTGTTCCCCTGAATGGATTGATTTTTATGTGAATGTGATGTATGGTTTTAAAGTTATGAAAGTTGGGTAGAAAGTATGTTTTAACTGTATGTGTAATTGAGTCTCCTCTCAGGATAAGGGGAGGGAATATGTGGGATGTAACTGATATGTGATTGGTTGTTTTATACCTCCCTGTGGGTGGTCCTGTATATGAAAGGCTGTAATAAAAACCAGGCTGGGTGTGCCAGCACCTGAGTTCCTGTTTTAACCCTCAAAGTGAAGTGTCGTCTCATTATTGGGGGAGGATTTTTGTATGCTGTTCCAGTTTGACTGCTAGGAGTCTAAACCCATCCGTATGGTTTTTGCCTATTCAGCTGTTTATAGCATTCATATGCTTGAGAGAAGGTATACGCTTCTTCGGTTCAGTGATTGTGGTGTCGGCCAGAGTGCTTGGAGTCCTCAGGAAACGCTAGGAGCATCCTTTAATGGAGGTACCCAGTCGGGGTGCCAGGCGATCCGTTACAAGAGGGAAGGGGGGTGGGAAGGACCACTGGGGGGGTAGGATCACTGGGGAAAAAACACTGGGGGGGTGGGAAGGACAACTGGAGGAAAGGACCACTGGGAGAGGGGGAGGACCACTGGGGGAGGGAGGGGAGTAAGGACCACTGGGGGAGGAAGGGGGAGTTAGGACCACTGAGGGAGGGGAGTAAGGGCCACTGAGGGAGGGAGGGAGGTCCACTAATGGGTTTGGGAGAGGGAGGACCACCAAAGGGGGGTAAGTAGGGAGGAGGGTAAGGACCAGTAAAGGGGGGGGGGAGAATTAGGATAATGACCACTGAGGGGAGGAGATTACCACTAAGGGGGTGGGGGAGGAGGGCATAGAAGTGATCATTTATTTAATTAGGTCTCATTTTATTCTTCCATATAGCTCGCTCCATGCCCCTTGCTTTTGGAGAGAGATCCTAATGTTATACAAGAAATTGTTTATTATGCTCTAAATCTCACCCAATATGACAATCACGTAACAAATACTAGAATAAATATATTCCAGATTAAAGTAAATTGCATTATTCCCAATAGGCATAATCATTGTGACTTGATTTTTTTTTTTAATTTGATGAGAGTTGAATATTAAAGACAATAATACATAATTTTTAGAACAATTTGTGATAAGACGTACTAGTAT